TCAAACTCTTAGGTGTGGAGCATTTGAATCGGGGAACTATTACTCGACTCACAAAAGCTATTCGTGAAAAAGCGAAAAGAGAGCCTAAGTTTTCGGCGCCGACTACTAATAGATGGTCAGCAAACAAGTCCTCTAATGATAGTCTCAACAGTGATAGCAGTAGTGATGACGAAATGGTAGACATAAAGAATAAATAATTATATAATCATTCGTATTCCTAATCAATCATATATTAATTAAATAAATGTTTAGTGTTTGTAGTTTTGTTTTGACTTTTAATTTCTCACTTAAGTGTTGAAACAATTTATTAAATTTATATATCGTATAATTGTTGTAAAACTTTATTTTACGTTATAATCTATAACAAAATTGAGTCAAACAATGGTTGATAAAAATAAACGCTAGAATTTTTAAACTAATCGCTAATATTATGTATACATTAGCCATCGTTTGTGTCAAATTGTTGCCGAATTAGATTCCAATACAAACGCTTATCTTTGATGAGTTGTGAATGAGTTCCCATTTCTGCTATCCTTCCCTTTGATATAACAACAATCGTATCGGCGTTTTGTATTGTACTCAGCCGGTGGGCGATTACCAGCACTGATGACAATAAGTAATTATGAGAACTAACATCTTGTACTGTATAGTGAGGCTAACAATCGCTTACCGGTTCTATTGACCATCACTTTCTCTAAGGCCTCCTGAACTAGTCGTTCAGAGTCGGCGTCCAAAGCAGAGGTGGCCTCGTCTAGAATCAGTACCGATGGGTCCTTAATAAGAGCCCTCGCGATCGCAATGCGTTGCTTCTGTCCGCCGGACATCTGACAGCCGCGTTCGCCAACAATTGTCTTATATCCGGCCGGAAATTCTCTGATAAACTTGTCTGCGTTGGCCATCTCTGCGGCTCTCATCACCTCCTCATCGGTGGCCTCAGGTTTTCCGAATCGTATGTTTTCCATAATTGTTGTGCAATTGTCTTATATCCGGCCGGAAATTCTCTGATAAACTTGTCTGCGTTGGCCATCTCTGCGGCTCTCATCACCTCCTCATCGGTGGCCTCAGGTTTTCCGAATCGTATGTTTTCCATAATTGTTGTGCCGAAGAGAACCGGTTCCTGATTTATAAACCCAATCACGTGCCGTCTGAGCCACGACGCGTCCAATGAACTGATCTCACAGCCATCTAAAGTGATAGAACCCGACTCTATGTCATAGAATCGCTCCAAAAGGGAAGCGATTGTTGACTTCCCTTCGCCCGAAAGGCCACAAATAGCGGTCACTTTCGCGGGAATAAGTTTTAAGTTGAAATCATTGAGAACTTTGTGTTGAGAACGACTCGGATAAGAAAAGTCGACATTTTTGAACTCAATTTCACCGACAACTTTGTTGAGTACAACTCCTTTGTACAAAATAACAGTCGGTTTGATATCCATGTATTCGAAGACCCGAGTGATGGCAGACGTGCCGCGAATAAAATGACCAAAAAGTTGAGACAATTGCGAAAAATTGTCTTATATCCGGCCGGAAATTCTCTGATAAACTTGTCTGCGTTGGCCATCTCTGCGGCTCTCATCACCTCCTCATCGGTGGCCTCAGGTTTTCCGAATCGTATGTTTTCCATAATTGTTGTGCAGAAGAGAACCGGTTCCTGATTTATGAACCCAATCACGTGTCGTCTGAGCCACGACGCGTCCAATGAACTGATCTCACAGCCATCTAAAGTGATAGAACCCGACTCTATGTCATAGAATCGCTCCAAAAGGGAAGCGATTGTTGACTTTCCTTCGCCCGAAAGGCCACAAATAGCGGTCACTTTCGCGGGAATAAGTTTTAAGTTGAAATCATTGAGAACTTTGTGTTGAGAACGACTCGGATAAGAAAAGTTGACATTTTTGAACTCAATTTCACCAACAACTTTGTTGAGTACAACTCCTTTGTACAAAATAACAGTCGGTTTGATATCCATGTATTCGAAGACCCGAGTGATGGCAGACGTGCCGCGAATAAAATGACCAAAAAGTTGAGACAATTGCGAAAAACAACTTTGTTGAGTACAACTCCTTTGTACAAAATAACAGTCGGTTTGATATCCATGTATTCGAAGACCCGAGTGATGGCAGACGTGCCGCGAATAAAATGACCAAAAAGTTGAGACAATTGCGAAAGTGATCTCTGAATGGTTTGCGTCGCCACCAAAAACGACATTAAATTTCCGGCACTTATCTCATCGTTGGATAAGAGTTTTCCGCCATAAATAAGAGTTCCCAATACAATGGAATTGAGTCCCAAGTTTGTCAATCCTTGCAATACTCCTATACCTATACCGAGTCTGATGTTTAATTCTTGGGCTGTCGTCAGCTCTTTGCTGTACAAACTTTTGAACAATAATTAGTACAACAATTTGGTTTGAAATGTCAATTATTATTATTTACTTCTCTTGACTTTCTTCCATCGCAAACGCTTTAACGGTCCGAACATTACCGATGGCTTCGCCGGCGATTCCCGACGCTTTGGCCGACTATAGAGAAATAATTAACACATCAATCACTAAAATATTGTCTGCAAACAGTTCATCAATTGTTAGCTTTTCACACAATTAATGCAATTAAGTTTAATTATAATTATAATAACCTGTTCTTGAGATTCTTTGGACATTTGTCTAAGAAATGTTCCCATGAAAGCGCCGCAAACGACCATTGATGGCACTATAGATGCCATTAATATTGTCATTTTGGGTGATATCACGAACAGAGATATAGAGCACCCGATTATCTGTAATTACAATAAATGTCACTTATTTTTACTGTCATTTACAACAAGAGTTACAAGACTTGAGTAAAGCTCCGCAATCCTTGAGAGACACAGAGTTTGAAAGAGCTCTTGAATTCCTGGACATCGTTTGTCAGACGAGTGATTATTTCCGACGACTTCTGTGAGTCGAAGAATGAATTGTCAAATCGTATGATCGATGCAAACAAATCACTTCTAATTCTTGTGGCGCTCCTCTCGCCGACCACTGCCAGCGATGAGATGTATAGAAATGTGAAAAAACTCTTTACAATAAGAGTATTAATTGAGTGCTAAATGCGGTGATAATTGAGTACTCGTTTACATACTTGAAGTACGAATAACTCGAAGACTCGAAACGCCGGCGATTTTATTTCGGTAAAGAAGCGATTCGACCAAAAGGACGAATTTTCTTCGTTGGCAAACCTCGACAACACATCCATAACGGAACCGATCGACAGCGGAATCTCGATGTTAAGTATGGCCACAATTAAGGCGCTCTGTATTTGATTCAATCGGATTCAATAGATGAACAAATGTGTCAATGGATTCAAGTATATGTCTTACAGTAATGGCAATCAGTAAATACAGTGAATCCGGTTTCAAGTATTGCAAAACTCGCCGCAAATTAAACTTTTCGTTTTGAATCGATTTGTTAACTGCATTATCAATCTCTACCACATCGACCACTTGGTCCACATCGAAGTCACATTTGGCTCTGTTCTTGTGATATACATAATAAGTGGCGCTTAAGACTCCACCGCCGATGACGGCCACTGACCAACTCTTGGTCTTCAATGACTCGGTTACATGTTTTTGGACTAATTTGTTGCTAAACAAAGTCTTGTACAAATCACTTCTAATTCTTGTGGCGCTCCTCTCGCCGACCACTGCCAGCGATGAGATGTATAGAAATGTGAAAAAACTCTTTACAATAAGAGTATTAATTGAGTGCTAAATGCGGTGATAATTGAGTTCTCGTTTACATACTTGAAGTACGAATAACTCGAAGACTCGAAACGCCGGCGATTTTATTTCGGCAAAGAAGCGATTCGACCAAAACGATGAGTTCTCTTCGTTGGCAAACCTCGACAACACATCCATAACGGAACCGATCGACAGCGGAATCTCAATGTTAAGTATGGCCACAATTAAGGCGCTCTGTATTTGATTCAATCGGATTCAATAGATCAACAAATGTGTCAATGGATTCAAGTATATGTCTTACAGTTATGGCAATCAGTAAATACAGTGAATCCGGTTTCAAGTATTGCAAAACTCGCCGCAAATTAAACTTTTCGTTTTGAATCGATTTGTTAACTGCATTATCACTCTCTACCACATCGACCACTTGGTCCACATCGAAGTCACATTTGGCTCTATTCTTGTGATATACATAATAAGTGGCGCTTAAGACTCCACCGCCGATGACGGCCACTGACCAACTCTTGGTCTTCAATGACTCGGTTACATGTTTTTGGACTAATTTGTTGCTAAACAAAGTCTTGTATTGCCTTATGTTATGTCTCAACACATTGTCTGCCCATTGATTGCCATTATTTGAAACTAATTTCAAGAATCTGTTAATTGAAACAAAATTAAGGAAAAGTTTAATTTCAATCATATTTACAGCAAAAAAATTAATTTTCAAAAAATAGTGAACAAATATAATGAAAATAACCGTATTTTATGACTCGTTAAGCAATTGATTGTTTTAATACAACAAAACATTACAATTAATTTAGTATAAAATCGATGAATAAATAGTAAAATTGCGTCAAAATTATGTCAAAATTGTGTAATAATTAAACAAAAACTGAATTAAAGTTTAAATGTTTTGAATAAAAAATAAGTAATAAATAATGTCTTCAAATGAATGGGATTTTTGCCCTCAATTTCAGTGCATTTTGTGATCACTTTTTCACAACATTTTCTCTGAACTTATTTCAAGTGTTTTTCCCATTATTTTGATTTGTTTCGTGAGATTTGAATCAATGATCGCGTCTTCACATCACTCCTGAAGAATGTCTTCGACAGAAGTGATTGTCACCCGATATTTGGATCTAATTATCGTAAATATTGATTGACATTATTGTATGAAATTGTTTATCACTTAATGAATGGTTTTGTTTGGACAGCAAAGCGAGACTCTCGAGGAGTCATTCGCCGGCTTTGTCTTGAGTTGGGATCAAAACGAGATCCACACCATTAAGACATATGAGGATTCTATGAAGACATTGATCCACGAATTGAACTCCACAGACAAGTTAGAGATCGGAGTCAAGCACTACATCGATGTCACCGCTAATATCGTTAGCCATAAACAGAACCAAACATTACTCCAAATGCTTGAGTTTGCTGTCAATAACAATCTGATCCCTGGAAAGTATGTCTTGTGTCCATCGCTTTGTGTATGTTTTGGATGTTATTTAAATTATTTATTTATTGTTTTGTAGACTTGTTTGCGAAGCGATACTGTCTTCAGACAAACTTCACTACAAGAATGAGATCTTTTGGTGCAATGCTTTGTCTTTGATTCGCCGAATCATTGGAACCGTTGACTACAAAGGGGTTCGGGATTTGCTTAAAATAATCTTTGATAAAGTGAATCAAATCCCAGCCAAAGGCAACGTTTCTGTTCTCAAACAACTCAATGTCTTATATCAGGTCTTATTTAATGATTTAATTATTTTATGGCAACTAATTGTGCTCTCATTTCCATCAGGTATTTGACCATATATTCGACAGAAGCCAGTGTTTACTTCCAGCATATCTTATATTGGATGAGATCCAGAAGAAGGGCAAATGGACTCATTGGGTTAGTCACACAATCATCGCATTTATTTTGCCATTAAATGTAATGAATTATTATTTAATTATTTAGAAATTTGCAAAACTTATCACGTCTTTTGTCGATAGTTTCCGACCGACGGGTCAGTCATTGTATACTTAAATGTGATTTTGATTACAAATTGTTGTGATGTTTATAATTAGCTCAAATGGTGTCGACCGCTGGCCGTTCAAAGTTATTGCCAATAGTGGGACATTCATCCACTTTGAATAACATTTGGAAATTGGATCCGTTGACCGCAAAGTTTCAATTAAGAGGTCTATTGCCGTATAATAAGGAGCTTCTGGAGTTGACTACAAAGGGGTTCGGGATTTGCTTAAAATAATCTTTGATAAAGTGAATCAAATCCCAGCCAAAGGCAACGTTTCTGTTCTCAAACAACTCAATGTCTTATATCAGGTCTTATTTAATGATTCAATTATTTTCTGGCAACTAATTGTGCTCTCATTTCCATCAGGTATTTGACCATATATTTGACAGAAGCCAGTGTTTACTTCCAGCATATCTTATATTGGATGAGATCCAGAAGAAGGGCAAATGGACTCATTGGGTTAGTCACACAATCATAGCATTTATTTTGCCATTAAATGTAATGAATTATTATTTATTTATTTAGAAATTTGCAAAACTTATCACATCTTTTGTCGATAGTTTCCGACCGACGGGTCAGTCATTGTATACTTAAATGTGATTTTGATTACAAATTGTTGTGATGTTTATAATTAGCGCAAATGGTGTCGACTGCTGGCCGTTCAAAGTTATTGCCAATAGTGGGACATTCATCCACTTTGAATAACATTTGGAAATTGGATCCGTTGACCGCAAAGTTTCAATTAAGAGGTCTATTGCCGTATAATAAGGAGCTTCTGGAGCCCCAGACCGGGCTCTTGCGATACGTGTTGGAACAGCCGTGTTCTCGGGATATGGTGTCCGCGATGTTGTCTCTAAGCCAGAAACAAAAGCAAAGAAGTGTTATTCTTGAGGAACAACTCGTAGAACTGATCATAACAGCGATGGAGCGCTCGGAAAGTGATTTGGATTTAAGCAGCGAATCCGGCGAACAGGGATGCAGTCCTACATTCTTCTTATGGCAACACTTGTCGAGTCATTTAATTTATTTCGTTTTGTTTCAATTCGCGTCGTTTCCACATATGGTTCTCTGTCTTCACGAAAAGCTTTGCACTAAGAATTTGCGCAAAAGTCGAGAGCATTTGATGTGGATTTTGTTGCAATTCCTGTCCGGTTCTATACAGAAGAACCCTCTCCTCGACTTTCTGCCGATTATGAAACTCTACGATCTGTTATATCCCGAGAAGGAACCGCTGCCGGTGCCCGACGTCTCCAAATCTAGTGCCACTCACGCATTGGCCGCCGCATCCGTTTGGATACATCTTATGAAAAAAGCCGAAACCGATTCCATTAGTCTTCAGCGACCCATTCCTTTGGCACTCAAAGCGCACATCGATTTTCTTCAGGAAAATCTGGTTAATAATACTAATTTGTCGATTAGTAGTACTGACTATAGAGTGGCACTCCTTTGCAACGCTTGTATGAATTGAAACATTTATTTGTTCACAAATATACTAATTGTTTATGTATTTAATGAATAGACAGTACAAATCAGGAGTGTTTCGCTCGACCCCTCTCTGTACTCGTTGAGGGGGTTCAGGGAAATAGAGGTCCCAATCAGAACCCGTCAAATTCGCCGCCCATGTGTCCGCTCTCTATGAGTGTTTTGGACTCTTTGACAGTTCACACAAAAATGAGGTAATTATTCAAATAATTGCCATTATTTACGAAAGTGTTGTTATAATTAACATAAATTTTGTTTGAGTTTATAGTTTGATTCATAGTATTGCTAATCAAGTGATGAAATTGGCTCAGGTATGCATATTCTTGCATTAAATGTGTGTTCAATTAATGTATTGAAACGTTACATAATTGTAGTCCAAATCGAACGTAGGGTTGGGTCCGGCACTCGTCGAGACCTACAGCCGACTACTTATCTATACAGAGATCGAATCACTTGGTATTAAAGGATTTATGAGTAATTATTTTGTCAATTCTTGTGTCGAAACCACAAATCCATATCATTTTGTTATTACATTTGGTTTGAATTTTCAGCGCAACTCTTGAACACTGTTTGGCGGTCTCAGGCGTGGGGTATACTCCACACACTGCTCGAGATGTATATCTATCGTTTGCATCACATCAACGCTCACTACCGCATCCAACTGTTAGGCCATCTGCACAGTCTGTCCAATGTGCCACAAACGAACCAGGTGCAATTACATCTCTGTATGGAAAACACGGCGCTTAAACTGATCCTCGGCCTAAGCAGTGCCGAAGTATTATCTATTCCTCAATACTCGCGCTTCCAAAACGAGCCCAAAGGGCTTCTGTCCACCGAATCCGAAGAGCTTAATAAAGTTCTTGTGCTAACCCTCGCGCGCGCTATACACGTGACCGGTTCCGAGACACTGACCGCCTCTTGGATTAAAGAGATTCTGCAGAGTATAATGCAAAGCACTTCCATTAGTTGGTCGTCGTTTACATTGCAATGCTTTCCCAACGCTATCAGCGAATTCTATCAACAATTCACGACTCAGAAGGAAAATAAGGCTCAACTCAAGCGCTCTGTCGAAGAAGAGTACCGAAAGTGGAAATCAATGAGCAATGAGAACGACGTGTCGCCACAACTGAAACACTTCTCACTTCCGGGAACTCCGCCTCTATTTCTGTGTCTGTTGTGGAAAATGCTTTTAGAAAACGACAGAATAAATCCAATCGCTTACAAGATATTGGACAGAATCGGCGCCCGAGCCCTGTCTTCACACATGCGAACGTTCGCCGACTTTCTGGTGTATGAGTTCGCGAATCTCGTGGGCGGACAACACGTGAATAAGTTCATTGACGCCCTCAACGACTTGATCTGGAAGTGCCATATCATTACGTTAGACAGACTTCTGCTATGTCTGGCCCTCAGGAGCTTTGAGGGCAACGAAGCGCAGGTTTGCTTCTTTATTATACACATGCTTTTGCTGAGACCCTCGGAGTTCAAGAATCGTGTTTACGAGTTCGTCAAAGACAACACTCCCGAGCACTGGAAGCAATCCAATTGGCACGACAAGCATCTCGCCTTCAATCGGGTATTTACTATACAATTGTATTATAAATTATAATTATGTCTAGAAATTTATTCTTTAATTTAAACACTATTCAAAAAACAAGATCTATAAGTTTTAAGTCATCCAATGTTTGGTTATTATACTTAAGGTATTTAAAAATTATTGCAAAACCATCATGTTACTTTGCACCGACTTTTGTATTACCCAAAGCTACTGGGCTAATTTTAACATTAATAATATTATGAAGGTTTGAAAGCAAGCGTTATATTAATTTTTTTCAGGATTTAACAATCTGTATAGAAATTAAGTCAAAATATTGGCAAATATTATAAAAACGGATATATTTTTTAATAATTGAAAATTTATAAGTCACATCTAGATAATAATTAGGTATTTGTAATGTTTGTTAAATTCTACATTGATTTCATCTATTATTTATTGAAATTAATGTTGAAATTTGCCGACAAAAGTGGTTATTGCGACCAAACCTTATGTCAGCTGACCATTGAAAGATATCATTGGACTTCTTATACTTTGATTTGATAAGAATAAATGCCGAATGCACCTTGTGTCTTTTTAACATTATCATTGCCCACTCATTTACAAGTTTAAGAATATTGTTGATACCAATGTATATCAATGATACCCATAAACTTAATATTTGTCCCATAAGATAACATAGTCATTTTAAAGTATAGCTATAGCTGGGATCCCATGTTATTTCCCATTTTTCAAAACTACAAAACTTTTGTAAAACTGTTCAGAACTGCACAAAACTTTTGTAAAACTGTTCAGAACTGCACAAAACTTTTGTAAAACTGTTCAGAACTGCACAAAACTTTTGTAAAACTGTTCAGAAGCGATGGATTATTATATCTGACAAATTCATTTCGCATTAAATTTTAAAAACAAAATTTCTAATCAATTATATAATTACCCAAAACTGTTCAGAACTGCACAAAACTTTTGTAAAACTGTTCAGAACTGCACAAAACTTTTGTTAAACTGTTCAGAACTGCACAAAACTTTTATAAAACTGTTCAAAACTATACAAAACTTAAATCTGTTAGATAATTAGTAGAAAATACTGTTAGTTTATCAAGTCTTTTAATAATGACTGTTAAAACTACTTTGTACTATATTTGATCACTTATTTTTACACCGTTTTTTAAATACCCAAACATTTACTCTCAAAATAAATTTTAAAAAGGTTTACAATAATTGAATATTAATATTGAATAATAACTTAAATATGAATAATTAATTGTAAGGCACATGAAATACACTGAAATATAATTGTATAAAATTTGTATTTTTAGAAATTTCCCGAAAAGTTCTACTTTGAATGTCTGCAAGAATCGAGTGGACAGAACTCTCAACACCAATATTTGCCCTTTTATTTCAGTAATGTTTGTCTCAGATTTTTGCCAGTTTTGGGTAATTATATAATTGATTAGAAATTTTGTTTTTAAAATTTAATGCGAAATGAATTTTGTCAGATATAATAATCCATCGCTTCCTTGAGCTGCCATCGGGTTCGATGTCCAATATAGTGGATCAGCTGTTGGACCAATTGGGATGTCTATATAAATTCCACGACAAACCGATAACATATCTCTATAATACACTTCATTATTACGAAACTAAACTGAAAGACAAACCGCAATTGAAGCGCAAATTGGTTTCTGCGGTAATCAATTCATTCAAAGACATTAAACCAAGAAATTGGGCCTTAAGTGAGGCGTATCTGACTTTTATGCAGAGAATGAACGACGATATAGACTGGACTCCCGGTCTGTTTGCACAGTAAATATGTTTGACTAGTAATTTACTAAACCGTTGGTTTCCGTAGGACTCGAGTATTACATTCATTTGATTGGACGAGTTGTGGACACACTGTCAGCCAATAAGTCTCCGTTCCCTCACACGGACTACCGATTCAATGAGTTCCCGAACGCGTCGGCGCATGCATTGCATGTGACTTGCGTTGAGTTAATGGCTCTACCGGTGAGCGCATCGGTTGTCGCCAATTCACTGCTAGACGTTGTCTTAATTGGACACAAGATATTGACCCGAAATAACATTGAAATGTGGATGAATGCGATCGGATTGGTGTTGACAGCGCTGTCCGAATCGTATTGGTCTGTACTAAACGACCGGATCCTCGAAATGATGCAAAGCCCGACTCTGGAGTGCAACTCAAATCCATTTGATTTAATGGACTTCACGAACAGTCACTCGTCTATGAATGAAATGCAATGCAGTTATTTAATAGCGTTGACACACGCCGTGTGGCACAACGCAAACGTCGGACAGATTAGTCTTATGCCACAGTTTCTCAAAGAAAAGGTCAAACCCGTCATCAAAAGCGAAGAGCAGTTCATTTTTATCTGTCATATTGTGGGACCATTTCTGCAACGCTTCTACGCCGAGAGAACCCGTTGTGTAATGGATGTGACCATTGAATTGTACGAAATGCTTGAAATTATTGACAAGAATTGCGATCAATTATTATTCATGGATCCCGTCTGCGATCTCCTCTATCATATCAAATGTGAGACTTATTTTGTTTCAATAATACAATCCCTTTATTTGCATAGTTTTGAATTGCAATTTGTTTGACAGATATGTTTACCGGCGATACAGTCAAGCATGAAGTGGAGCGCAGTATCAAGAATTTGAGGCCAAACCTACAAAAGAGACTCAGATTTATCACTCATATCGCCATCGATGAGGTGTCTGTGCCTTAAAGATTGCATTTTTGTACATTTATTACTTATCATTAAAATCATGTGTCACTTATATTATACACATGTATGGGTACGAGGGGTCAGTGAATGTCAAAGTTTGTCTTTGGTTTTACTAATCATGTGTGGAATATTGTAATCTGAGATAATTAAATATACAGTACATGAGTATAACTTATATATACCATTGTAACAATCATGATACAAAATATTCAGGTGTGGAATATCATTACATTTTGTAATATTATTGTATTTGTAAAAATTTTCTAAACTATAGAATATTGTGAACAATAAAAACGCTTAACTTAAAGAATAAAATGGAAATTAAAATTATTTTTAACAATTTTGTTGCGATTTTGATATTTAATGAAATTTGACCATGTATATCATGAAAATTGACCTTGGGTTTGGCTAAATGCTTTTGCAAACACGAAATTCTAGCGTTCATTTAATCCCATAAACAAATACTTTGAACACACTTTGCACACTATACTCACAAATCCAGTTATAACTGCTATTCGCGGCACATATAAGACACACGTTTAAACAATTTAATGGCATTTAGTTTAAAATATTATACTTATTTTACATAGTGTTCAATTATGCAAAATGTGTGTTCGAATGTGATTTAAACCTGGGACCTTTTTGTTTTTTAATATTTTACGTTATATTTGTACACAACTGTATCGTAAAACATTCGTTTGGCGTAAAACCGGTTTAAAATCAGTGTAATCTAAGGCCTCTTCAAGGGCTGACTCCTCTTCTTGTGCCACACTTTTACTTTTCAAGTGAAAGTTCTTAAGAAGTGGACCACAAAAACACGCCAAAAATGATTGCCTTTCTAACCATTAAAGACGGCCCAACTTTTACGGGTTTGCACTTTGGATATGAAAGTTCCGTTACCGGAGAAGTCGGTTAGAAATTAGTTTAATTTAATTAATTTAATTTTAATTTATTGCAATGTATGCGAAAAATTAATTGTAATGAGTTTTATGCAGTTTTCCAGACAGGAATGGTTGGATATGTGGAGTCGTTGACTGATCCCTCATATTATAGACAGATTCTGGTTCTCACGTATCCTTTAATTGGAAATTATGGCGTTTCCGATAGTAATGAAAACGATAAGTTTGGACTTCAGAAGTGGTTTGAATCCTATAAGATATGGCCCATTGGACTCATTATCGGCCAATTGTCGCACAATTATAGCCATTGGAATGCAAAACAATCTTTGGATGACTATTTGAAAGAGAATTCTGTTCCCGGAATTCATGGCATCGATACCCGAGAATTGACTAAATATTTACGAAACAAAGGCAGTTGTCTCGCGAAGATTGTCATCAAAGACATCGCCATTCAAAAGACACTTTCGTTCAAAGATCCAAATCTAGATAATCTCGTGGAAGAAGTTTCCACTAAAGAGACCAAAGTTTATAACGAGAAGGGATTCCCAAGAATACTGGCCGTCGATTGTGGGATAAAAAACAATCAAATCCGATGTTTGGCAGAGAGAGGGGCTCGAGTGGAAGTGGTTCGTTGGGACTTCCCATTCGCCAAACACACCAATACTTTCGACGCCGTCTTCTTAAGCAACGGACCCGGAGATCCGCTCAAATGCGTGCCAACCATTGCTAATATTAAACAACTTATCGATGGGGAGAATGTGTTGTGTCCCATATTTGGCATATGTTTGGGTCACCAATTGTTGGCCAGGGCTGCGGGCGCGTCCACCTATAAGATGCCTTACGGTAATCGCGGTCATAACCAACCGGCGCTCTTCTTGGATACAATCAATTGTTGCATTACTTCACAAAATCATGGCTTCGCAGTCGACGTGAACTCATTCCCGAAAGACGAGTGGATTTCGTTGTTTACGAACGCAAACGACAAAAGTAACGAAGGAATCGCTCACAAGACTAAACCATATTTCAGCGTTCAGTTCCATCCCGAACACACCGCTGGGCCCGAAGACATGGAATTCCTATTCGATGTCTTTTTGGATATCGTTAAATCTCACCTCAAGAAAGACAACGCTATACCAGTGGCGCAAAGAATTGCCAAATGTTTTCAAACCAATTTGTCGTTTCCAATCAATGAGAGTTTAATTAAGAATCCCAATAAAGTGCTGATCTTGGGTTCGGGCGGTCTGTCCATTGGACAGGCGGGTGAGTTCGACTACTCCGGGTCTCAGGCTATTAAGGCTCTCAAAGAACAAAAGATCCAAACGGTTCTCATTAACCCAAACATAGCGACCGTTCAGACGACCCCTGGTTTGGCCGATAAGGTATACTTTTTGCCCATCACTTCAGACTATGTCAAAGAAGTGATTCGATGCGAACGACCCGATAGTGTGCTTCTCATGTTTGGCGGACAGACAGCACTCAATTGCGGCATTGAATTAGAAAAGAGCGGTGTTTTGGCTGAATATAATGTTGAAGTGTTGGGAACGCCAATCAGTTCCATCATTGACACCGAAGACAGAGAGATATTTGCCCAAAAAGTGGCTGAAGTTAATGGAAAGGTGGCCCCGAGTCGGGCCGCATATTCAGTTGAAGAGGCGCTTAAATTCGCCAAAGACTTGGGATATCCAATACTCGCCAGATCTGCCTATGCTTTGGGAGGTTTGGGTTCCGGGTTTGCCAACAATCCCGATGAACTTAAAAAAATTGTTACCCAAGCATTCGTTAACTCAACGCAAGTACTTCTGGATAAAAGTCTTAAGGGTTGGAAAGAAGTGGAATACGAAGTATTGAGAGACGCTTACGATAATTGCATTACTGTCTGTAATATGGAAAACGTGGACCCATTAGGTATTCACACCGGGGAGTCCATAGTTGTGGCCCCGTCTCAGACCCTAACCAATCATGAATATAATAAGTTGCGAACAATGGCTATAAAAGTGATCCGACATCTGGGAGTGATAGGAGAGTGTAATATTCAATACGCTTTGAGTCCCGATTCCGAGGAGTTTTACATAATTGAAGTAAACGCCAGACTTTCGCGGAGCTCAGCGTTGGCCTCAAAAGCGACGGGTTATCCGTTGGCGTATATCGCGGCCAAAGTTGCTCTTAATATTCCGCTCTCACAACTCATCAATAGTGTCACAACTGAGACGACCGCCTGTTTTGAACCGGCGCTCGACTATTGTGTGGTTAAGATCCCGCGTTGGGACTTAGGTTTGTCTTCAAAAAGTCTTTGATTTTTGTTATTTATTAATATATTTCCATTAAATTAATTTTAGGTAAATTTACTGGAGTTAGTCATCAGATCGGAAGCTCAATGAAAAGCATCGGCGAGACTATGGTTTGTAATGGCATTTAAATTATATCTGATTTATTCATCACATGTTTGTCTAATTAGGCAATCGGTCGGACGTTTGAAGAAGCGTTTCAAAAGGCACTGCGAATGGTTGACGAATCTGTCAATGGATTTGATCCGTACCTCAAAAAGCACAGTCGAGAAGAGCTCGAGTCGCCGACCGATAAGCGTATATTCGCTTTGGCGGCGGCGCTGAACCACAACTGGACGATCGAAGAGCTCTACAATTTGACTAAAATTGATTTCTGGTTTCTCTATAAATTTAAGACAATTATCGATCAGTTGAAAGAATTGGAAAATTTAAATTCCGACACAAATCTATTGACTCCTGATATTCTGTTAAATGCAAAGAAATTGGGATATCTTAATATTCCGCTCTCACAACTCATCAATAGTGTCACAACTGAGACGACCGCCTGTTTTGAACCGGCGCTCGACTATTGTGTGGTTAAGATCCCGCGTTGGGACTTAGGTTTGTCTTCAAAAAGTTTTTGATTTTTGTTATTTATTAATACATTTCCATTAAATTAATTTTAGGTAAATTTACTGGAGTTAGTCATCAGATCGGAAGCTCAATGAAAAGCATCGGCGAGACTATGGTTTGTAATGGCATTTGAATTATATCTTATTTATTGATAACATGTTTGTCTAATTAGGCAATCGGTCGGACGTTTGAAGAAGCGTTTCAAAAGGCACTGCGAATGGTTGACGAATCTGTCAATGGATTTGATCCGTACCTCAAAAAACACAGCCGAGAAGAGCTCGAGTCGCCGACCGATAAGCGTATATTCGCTTTGGCGGCGGCGCTGAACCACAACTGGACGATCGAAGAGCTCTACAATTTGACAAAAATTGATTTCTGGTTTCTCTATAAATTTAAGACAATTATCGATCAGTTGAAAGAATTGGAAAATTTAAATTCCGACACAAATCTATTGACTCCTGATATTCTGTTAAATGCAAAGAAATTGGGATTTTCTGATAAATTCATCGCTCAGTGTATGGGAAGCAGTGATTTCATTGTTAGGCAAATGAGAATCGTTAATAATATTAAACCTTTTGTGAAACGTGTGGACACAGTGGCCGCCGAATGGCCCGCAACTACTAATTATCTATATTTGACTTATAATGCGTGCAATACTGACATTGAGTGCAGTAGCGGAGGAGTTATGGTTTTAGG